CATTCCCTCTATCAGAGAAACTAGATTAGATAGTGGCATTTTGGGTCCCAAAGTAAAACTGGGGATATTACAGATCTGGTCACCAACCTAGTAGTCAGCCTGGTTTGCGGCCTCCCTGGGCACATGACTTTTCCTACTGCTGCTGCTCTGGGAGTAGCCCTTTTCCAACTTCCTTTCATGGGAGAGGAAGCCCCTGAAATTTCCCATTTCCTGGGAGTGAGGTAAGTTACCCTTCAGGAACTGACTTCCTGGACATCATTGCTGCTTCTAGAGCTGTAACCCAGCAGATACCTGGTATCAGCATTCTTGTTTTACCCAGATAATTATCTTGTTTTTGAGCTCAGTTGGCTTTAGGGTTCTATTTACATAGTTTGGTTATTATTAATATGTGTTGGGGCATGGCTTGTCAAAATGTAAACCAACTATTCTATCTTCATCAGTTCAATTGAAACTCTTTAAAGCTTGCTTTTCTCATAATAATAGATAATTTTTTTATGTTTTTAAGATTTTATTTCTTTAAGTAATCTCTGTATCCAAAGTGGGGCTCAAACTTACAACCCAAAGATCAAGAGTCGCATGCTCTGCTGACTGAGCAAGCCAGGCACCCCAGTAATAATAATTTTAGAAAACAACCTGATAAGAACGTATTAAACACTTCATCAAGATAAACTCATTTAATCCTCCCCCAAACTTTGATTTTATAGAAGAGGAAAGTGAGAAATGGGGAGGTTTCGTAACTTGTCCTGGATCACACCACTAATAGATGACAGAGCAAGGATTCTAAACGAAATAACTTGGCTCTGTAGTCTATCCTCCTAACCACTATCATGTACTCTTCCACCTATCAGTTGGGGAAAATCATACCTTTTCAGACTTGTTTGTTGCAAAGTAAGATACGATGTGAAAAGTCTAGTGTTGTATCTGATGCATAATAGACATTCAGTGAATGTTTCTTTTTCTTTCCTTAGTGGCAGGCGAATATATTTTCAGTATGATAATTTAAACAAAACCTGTAAGTTTATTTTGTTTAAAATATAGCATGTTTCATTTTAGTAAGAAGGGTAGGAATTCTATTATTGGACTAATTTTCTTGTGTGGCTATGGGGGCAGGACTGGCCTGGGAGAGATGCAGAACTAGGAAGCTAGGAAATCAGAGAAATAGGGTCCAGTGCAAAGTCCAAATTGAAAACTAGACAACTGGGGCACCTGGGTGGCTCAGTCGATAAGCGTCTGCCTTCGGCTCAGGTCATGATCCCAGGGTTCAGGGATCCAGCCCTACACTGGGCTCCCTGCTCAGCGGGAAACCTGCTTCTCCCTCTCCTACTCACCCTGTTGTGTTCCCTCTCTCGCTGTGTCTCTCTCTGTCAAATAAATAAATAAAATCTTAAAAAAAACAAAGAAAGAAAACAGACAACTGAAAGGTTCTGCAGAAAAGACCTCCTGATCCTAGGGAATTCAGAGCAGAGGACCATGTGGACTAGATGGGAGGAGCTGGTGCCTTGACGGTTTCCCAGAGCTCCTGAGGTTCCTGGATCCTTGGCAGTGGGCCAGAGAGGGCTCTGGCGAGGGCACTTTGCCAGCCTTTTCCTTATTGAGTACTCTCTAACCTTTGTTTTCAAATTCCCCAAATTAACAAGGAGCATTTAGTCTTAGTATGTAACACTTAAGGGAATAAATAGGTCTGGTTAACTATTTATAATTACAATAGCCAAAAATCTAAATTAGGGAATTGCCTCTGGGGCCTTAAACTGTTTCCTCAGTCATCTCATCTCCTGCGCCCTCAAGACCACACTTGTGGGCCCTCCACCATTCTGCCTGCGCATCCTACAAGTCCAGTCCAGAGTCCACCCTGTCCATGGCACCGTACTGACCCCCTGTAACACCTTGTGCCTAGTAGTTCTTTGAAGTACATTAGAGGCTATGAGAAAGGAAAGGTCCTTGTGAGATGTAATATTTGGAGGCAGTTTTACTAATTTGTTTGAATGGTTAAGTGCGGAGATCATAAACAAATGCTTAGTTGGGAATATGGAGAGAGTGTGTGTGTGTGCGTGTGTGTGTGGCGCGTGTGTTAGAATGAGAACCAGCTAAGTGCACAACTTACTATAACAGTCTGTAGAAATGTGGAAAAAATTTTAAGGTTAGAATCAAGCTGGAATATTTGATTAAGATGGAAAAGGAATTAGATCAAGATTTGTTAACAGTCATGAGCCCTTGTAAGTTCAGGCAAGGAAGGATGATGCGTGGTGAGATCTCAGACCTGCCTGCCCTTTTCAAGATTGGTTGGTTTTGCTAGAACCTCTGTGTGCCAGGTCAGGGAGGCTCAGGAGAGGCTCACAGACAGTGTTGAGGAGCATTACTGAGCTAGTATTTATTGTACTCGTGTTTCAGTGCACTTGAAAGGAAAATAAGGAAGTAGGAAAATACCTCTTATCTCTTACAGTTCCTTTTTCTTCTTAGTTTTTCTATGTAGTGAATCCCTACAGGAGACTTGACCTTAGACTAGCGTTTTCTATAAGCCAGTCCTACATTGCCAATGGTTTTGTGGTGGGGAGGAGAATAGGTAAATGAAATCTACATGTAATCTTAGATCAAGTAGTTTTTACTTTATTCACTTCTGTGACTCCAGTTTTTTTTGGATGATTAGATCACAAAAGATGACTTTTGCTTTGATTTTCTTTTTTTTTCTTTCCCCTGCTCACCCACTGTGGAGTACATTAACCCAGACATACTTAAAAGACTGTGAAGAATGAGCAAAGGAAGACCATAATCTGTAACTGTATCATCTGCACTTAACAGCTCTGGGAAATTTGGATTTCAGTTTTTGATTGGGTAACTGTGGGAGGATTATACCAAACTGGCAATGTTAATAATAAACTAGAAAATGATTCCATGAAATTCAATGCATTTATCTTAATTTTTTTTTTTTTAAGATTTTATTTATTTGACAGAGAGAAAGCCAGAGAGGGAACACAAGCAGGGGGAGTGTGAGAGGGAGAAGCAGGCTTCCCGCTGGGCAGGGAGCCTGATGCGGGGCTTGATCCCAGGACCCTGAGATCAGGACCTGAGCCAAAGGCAGATGCTTAACGACTGAGCCATCCAGGCGCCCCTATCTTAATTTTTAAAAGACATAAATCCAGTGATGGAAGTGACTTCAGTTCTTATAAAAGTACGGGAGGATTGCTTTTATTATGAAAATTTCACACATTACACGAATGGATTATTTTTATTATGAGGAGTTTCAAATGTAAATTTTAAACATATAATATATTGACATATAAAGCATATAAAAATTTCAAACATATATGTATATAAAAGTAGAGAGAATAATGAAATGAACCACCTTACGCATCACTCAGATCCAACATTTATCAGAGTTTTGCCACTCTTTCTTCATCTGTACCTTTCATTATGGCTTACTGAAGTGTTATAAAGTACATTTCTGATTTGTAATTTTCACTCCTGTGCGCTTCAGTGTGCATCTCTAAACAATATGGACATTGCTTCCATGTTCGTAATGCCCCTTACACATCCTATAAATAATTCCTTGGTGTCCTATAATCTATAGTACATTTTTAGACCCATGTCAAACTTTTAAAAACTTCTGCTTTAGAGTAGTAGTATTTACATATATTTTGTTTTATGCAAGACATAAACAACTAAATTGTTTGTTGCTGTTTGAAATATTTAATTAGAAACTTAAGTTGTCTGTCTGATATCAAACTAAAGAAAAAAAATCCCACATGTGTTTCTAAGAGGTCTAATTCTCACTGCAAATTAGAAATCAGTTATCTTAAAAAAAAAAAAAAGAAAAGAAATCAGTTATCTTGGGGAATCTGGGTGGCTCAGTCGGTTAAGTGTCTACCTTCAGCTCAGGTCATGATCCTGGGGTCCTCCTTCTTCCTCTCCTCCCCGCTCCTGCTCTCTCTCTCACTATCTTTCTCTCTCAAATAAATAAATACAATCTTTGGGGAAAAAATCAGTTATCTTTCTATAGAATATCTTCCTCAACGTAAAAAAAAATTTTTTTCTTTGGACTTTATCCCTTTATTTTCATGTATTTTTAGTTAAATCCAACTATGATCCTCCTAAAATAATTGTCTGTCTACCACTGAATATACTATTTCTTAAGATAATGTTATATAATCGGATAAGGCATAAGGTTAAAAAATTTGGGGGGCACCTGGGTGGCTCAAGTCAGTTAAGCATCTGACTTCAGCTCAGATCATGATCTCAGGGTCCTGGGATCAAGCCCTGCATCGGGCTCCCTGCTCAGTGGGGAATCTGCTTCTCCCTCTGCCTCTCCCCCTGCTTGTGTGTTCTTTTTCTGTCTCTGAAATGAATAAGTAAGATCTTTAAAAAAATTTTTTTTAAATAAAATGTTCTTAAGGACTCTAGAATAACAGTGTAATAGAGCAGAATCTCGCTAACAGCAGTGTCCAAATAACCTCAAAATATTTGTTCCAACTTGCTTAATTAATTCTCCATAGGATCTGGTTGAAAATTTTGTGGTGGGCCACATTTTGAAAGACATGAAAATTATTATTAAAATGTATCTTAAAAAATATACCTTAATATGCATTTTCTCTGAATGTAAATAATCTTTATAAAAGGAGAACATAAGTTATATTAAACTTATATTCTCTTTGTTGGAAGTCTTGAGTTTTGCAGTATAGATTATCTGTAAGAGTTTCATTAACATCAGAAGATCAGAACATTTTGACTGTGGGTGTAAGCCATGGTATTAAAGCTTATTTTGTAGACAAGACACATGCTTTATATGCTTTTGTAAGAAGTGGAATCTTTAATAGCTTCAAATCTTAAGACCCATAATAAAGAGGAAAATAAGTGAAAAGTAGAAAGGGAGACAATTTTTAGTTTCCCTCCTTCCAAATGTAAGAATATTTATTCTTTTCTAACAATGTTGATGTGTATCAATAGTTTGCACTTTTATCTTTAGGTGCCTGATTATTCCAAATATTTGCTTTATATATGCCTTTTAGGTGCCCCAGTGTGAGTCTGCAAAAGCTACCAGAGCAGTGGTTATGGGATGTTTTAGAGGAAATTAAATGCAGTGATCCTTCATCTAAACTCTGTGCTACAAGGCGCAGTGCTGGAATTCCTTTCTACATACAGGTACTAATCCATGGGACATAGCTGGTTGTCTTTTGATAATTTGTTTTATTTGTCTTGTGACAATCCCCTTGACATGTGAGTAAGCATACTGCATATGGGACAGTTCTGTCTTTTAAGTACCATAGCATTTGTGGCTTTGTTGTACGTGTGGACGGTGTGTTCCCGTGACAGATGTGTTCTTGGAACAAACCCTCCATGAGGTCAGCCTTGTAATGTGAACAGAGGGTGGTATAGATTTCCGCCTGGGTATTACGTAGGCAGACATCACTGTGGCACATTCACTGCTCACTTCTAGAAAGTGTACATGTTACCTTTTTCTTTTTGAATTAGAAAAAATAGTCTTCCTGTTACTTCAAGACCCTTAAGACTCTTCTCTGTAAGCAACCAGTAGTAACAGTTTCTTTGAATCCTTCCATGAAATGTGTGCACAAAATAATTTTAATCTATTCTAATAGTAGCTAACATTTGTAAGTAGTTATTTCACATATATTATCTTATTTAATCCGTCCTGAAGCCCTATGAGATGCGTCCTGTGATCATCTGTATATTGTAGATGTAGAAACTGAGGCTTAGGAAAGTCAAGTAACTTGCCGAAAGCCCCAGAGATTGTGTGAGCAGAGCTGACTTGAAGCTCAGACAGCCTGACTGAATGTGTTTTTTTTAATACAGAAGAAAGCATATTATACATACTGTTTTTCCCTTGCTTTTTTTTCACTTAACATTATACCTTAAAGATCACTACATATTAGCACACCCAGATATTGCTAGTTGATAGGCAAATATTTTATTTCCACAGTGTTGAAATTAAGAGGCGGTCACCCTCATGAATGCAATGAATAAAAACCAAAGTCCTCACAATACTAAATCAGACCCCGATCTGGAAGGTCTTTATTTAATATTCAGTAAGATATAGTCCAGGAATGGGGGTGGTATAATAAAAGCAATGAAAATAAGTGAAATGATGTCTTTTTTTTAGTGCCCCTACCTGCATTTTTTCCTTCTTTCTCATTCCTTCCCCAAATTTCCAAGGTCATCATTGTGTAATGACAGTGGGCACCACTTGCAGAGGTTGTTGATTTGATAAAGAGATCATCGAGGTAGTTCTGCTAGATGGATTTTGGTGACCTTCAGAAATGAACTCTCTGATCTGACCCATTCCACATCAGTTTGGTTCATCTCCTGCCTGTAATTCATTCTGACCTAGCGTGTTTTTGCCTCATTCGTCTGTCTGAGGACAAATGTTAACATGATAACAAGGTCTAGTTGCAGGTTTGTGCCGTGTGCTTATTGCACTTCTGGTTCCCATCCATTACTAAATATTGGTCATAGTGACAGAACAATGAGGACGTGCACTTTCTTAGCCCATCCTTGGGAAGAGTATCATAACTATGCCCATAGCTCTTGACGGAACAAAAGCCATGGTTCCAAGGAGACATTTCAGTAATTGCATGTAACTTTCTTATTTATGTTAGTTGAGTAAAATCTAAATTGTTAGAAAAATCTGCTCAGAGATATCCCATTCCTCATAGCATAACTTACCAATAAGCTATGTTCTCATGGAAGCCTTTCCTTAGTGTTAACTATGGAGGAAAAACTGCCCTACTTAGTTTATGAACTTACCTTTTGTGCAGACAGATATGAAAGTTTTTTGAGTGGTCATTAGAAAAATAGTATATATGTTTTTTGAGCATAAATACACTATGGTAAATTTTTCTTTTAAACTTACCTATTTTGGGTGTTCCTCTTTTATGGATTATAAAAGCTTCTGAAGAACTGAGTAGCTTGAAACTTGCATTCTTGGGAGCTAGTAGCTATGTACAAATGAAATAATCCCTGCTACTCCTAGTTCTACACAACCACTAATCTATTTTCTGTTTCTATAGATTTGCCTATTCTGGACATTTCATATAAATGGAATCATATAATGTGCAGCCTTCGTGTCTGGCTTCTTTCACTTAGCATGTTTCAAAATCCATCCATGTTGTAGCACATATCAGTACTTCATTCCTTTTTATTGCCTCAGGTAGTTTGATATCCTATTTTTATGTTTATTGTGTATTAGTAAAATGTTAGACACCAAGTAAATGAGCAGCTCTTGAAAACCCAAATATAGGCTGGAGTTTGTAGTATTTTCTTTTGCTCCGTGGGGTTTCCAGTGCTACAATTTGATAGTCCTCCAGGTAGAGACTCTTTAGTAAAGAACTAAATAACTGATCAATCTCTAGGGAGTTTCCAAATCCTTGCTAGAAATTTAATCCACAGGTTTTTTGTTTTTTAAGTAGAGAGAATTTTCTTGTTGGTAAATTTGTTATAAAAACTGACTTGCTTATTGTATCTGAGACCTGCCACCTAGTTATGGTCCTAAAAGAGTTGTCAACAAGAGCCATCTCTCAGCCTCTTAGAATTCTATAGTTAACAAGCAAACCTGGAAATGACTAGAGGTTCCATGATATCACCATCACCAGATTTTTCAGATGAAGAATCCCGGGGATAGTGAGGTTAAGCTACTTGCCCAGGGCCACATGGCTTAATTAACTTACTTGATACCACATGTTTTTATAGGGGGATTTTTGCATTTTGGGATTGATTCTGGGAAGTAGCAAATAGGTATATGTAAAATCAGAGCCCCGTTGATTTTTGCCTTGTTTTTCTATAGGCGCTATTGGCATCTGAACCTAAGAAAGGCAAAATGGATTTGTTGAAAATAACAATGAAAGAGTTAATCACATTGGCTGGGCCTACAGATGACTCACGGAGCACAGTCTCCCAGGTAATAATGGAAATATACAAAGCCTGCTAGGAAAGCAGTGATTTTAAATCTTTGCTGTACCAAAAAGATACGGAATTCTTGAAAATAGGGCAGGTATTTGAAGCTTGATCTGGATATTTTGTTTCTTTTGTTTTGTTGGCCTTTCCTGTCCATAAAATAAATCATTGCTTTAGTTGACATGTATTAACCAGAATGAACTATTTTTAAACTCTTGTGAAAACATCCAATTTAGATATTTTATAATACTGCTCTTGCACCTAAAATTTTTTAAATGAGTGTGCACTTTAAAATTTCAGGTGTGCTTCTTTGAGTTGATACACATTTGTAATTCAGTAGCTGATCTTTCCCTAAAATGAAGTGTCTAACTTTTGGTATATTCATTTTTTAATTTTAGCTAATACTTAAGTCTCTTTTAGTCACTTCTGCACCTGGGTTAAGTGCGTGTGAGTGTGTGTGTGTGTTTGTGTATGAGTGAGAAGTTGGGGTAAGTAGTCCTCATAGCTCCACTCCACTCCATAATAGTAAATACCTTCAAGTACATTTTGTCTAGGCTTTCTCAGTAAATGCTTTATAGTAGGACTTTCCTGCCCAACTATAGGACGCCCAGGCTAGGTCAGGGAACAGAAGAGCTGACGCATCAATCAAGTACCATACAAACATACATGGTTTTATTTCAGAGCCTGTGGGAGGTGTCAAAGGGGAGCCCATGGGCCAGAGTGTGACTAGTGGAAAAGGATGGGGTTTATTAGCATACGGCACGTTCTGGCTTGTGACTATAATATGTGAAGTTTCCTTATTTATCTCAAACTTTTAAAGTGTCACTAATCACCTTTCAGAAATGATCGGTTTTAGATTTTATTCCAGCAAAATATGAAAAATATAATTTGGTTCCATTTTCCTAGACTCTTACTTAAAGTGCTATTTTTTTTTATTAAAGATTTTATTTATTTGACAGAGACACAGCGAGAGAGGGAACACAAGCAAGGGGGAGTGGGAGAGGGAGAAGTAGGCTTCCCGCTGAGCAGGGAGCCCGATGTGGGGCTTGATCCCAGGGCCCCAGGATCATGACCTGAGCCGAAGGCAGACGCTTAACGACTGAGCCACCCAGGCACCCCTTAAAGTGCTATTTTTTATGAGAACATCTAAAAATAATGGAGTTTGATTTTAGAGTGTTGGATAATTATTGTTCTACTCTGCTTCAAGATCATTCATGGCATTTTAGTGATCATTTTTATTAAATTGGTAAAATTTAAAATTTTGTCTCTGACCAGTCTTCTAGGCATTAGTTGATAATTTGTTTTCCTTCTCCCCTTTTGTGGGATATTTCTTATTATTTTTATTAGGTATCTGTGAAACATTTCAGCATATAAAAATGTACAGTGAACGATGAACATCTGTGAAACCAATTCCAACCTAAAGAAGTAAAGCATTGCTGATAGAATTATAAGCCCACTGTGGGCTCCTTTGCATCCTGTGCCCCTTTCTTCCCCCTCAGCTATAATCACTAATCCAAGTTTTTCTGTGCACATTTTTCATTCTGTTATGACTTTTTTTTTAAACATAAATGGTATTATCCATACATCTTTTTATAGTTTGGGTGTTTACAATAAACATTATTTTCAAGATGAGTGAGCTTAAGGGTTTTTTTTAAGATTGATTTATTTATCTATCTATCTATTTATTTATTTATTTTAGAGAGAGTGTGAGCAGGGAGAGAGGGACGTGGGGGAGGGAGAGGGAAAGGGAGAGAGAATCTGAGGCCGACTCTGTGCTGAGCATGGAGCCTGTTGCGGGGCTCGATCCCACGACCACAGATCATGACCTGAGCCAAAAGCAAAAATCAGACATTTGACTGAGCCACCCAGGTGCCCCAAGTTCATTGTAATTTCTGAATGGTGTTTCATTGTACATGGTTTCTGCCTTTCTGCTTCACGTGAAATGGCACTTCCCAGTTTTATTTCACATTTCTCTGATACCTGGCTAGCTTTAACATTTTTTCATGTTTCATTTTTAGTCTTCTGGATTACTTCTATGAATTGCCCATTTAAAGACTTTTCAGCTGCCTTTAACTTGGTTGTCTTTATCTTGTGGGAGTTGGGGTTTTTGCTGTTTTAAAATGATTTTCCTGGGGCACCTGGGTGGCTCAGTCGGTTGAGCATCTGCCTTTGGCTCAGGTCATGATTTCAGGGTCCTAAGATCAAGCCCTGCATCGGGCTCCCTGCGCAGGGGGGCATCTGCTTCTCCATCTCCCTCTGCACCCCCGTCCCCCGCTCCTGCTCTGTCTCTCAAATAAATAAATTTTAAAAATCTTTAAAAAAATGATTTTCCTGATAACAATATTCCTTTTTGGTTATTTGAATTACACATACCTTCTCCCAATCTGTAGTTTCTCCTTTCACTTTGCTTTTGCATGGAAGTTTTACATTTTAATCAAGTGGAGTATGTCAGCTTTTTTTTTATGGTTTGTGGATTTGGATCTTGTTTAAAATACCCCAAGGTCAGAATGATATTTTATATTTTCTTTTTAAAGTTTTAGAGTTTTACTTCTCACATTTCTGTCTCTACACCAGCTGTAATTTGTGTGTAAAATAAGAAAAAAATATTATTTTCCATTTGGATAATTAATATACAAGCATTTTTGATATAGGCTGTCCTTTCCCCTTGATTTATGATACCCTTCTATCTTTCATGTACTGTTTGTGTGCTCTATTTTATTGGTCTGTTAGTCTACCCTGAGCCAAAGTCACTGTTTTAATTACTATCTTTTTAGTAAGTTTTGGTATCTGGTAGGGTGAATCTCCCTTTTCTTCCTTTGGAATTATCTTGGCCATATTTATTCCATTGCATTTCCATATAAGTTATAGAATCAGCCTGTTAAGTTCAACAAAACTCCTTTTTGAATTTTGGTGGGAATTTAAATTTATTGATTTGTTTGGGAAAAATGACTTTGCGCTGAATATAAGCACAACAATAACCAAAAAAATTAATTGCATTTATACACACTAGCAACATACAGTATAATCTTTAAAATACCATTTACAATCGCTAGAAAAACTATAAAATATGTAGAATTAAATTTCACAAAAGATCTATAGGACTTTTAAAGAAAATTATTCTTAAAAATAATGAAAGACATACAAGAAGATCTGAATAAATGGAGAAAAAAGCCATGCTCTGGACTGGAAGATTCAATATAAAAAAAGAAGTCATGTCAACAATTGCTATACTACAAGTAATGACTTATATGTGAATTCTTTTGGATTTTCTTTATGGATAATCATATGTTCAGTGAATAATGCTAAATATGTTTTACCTTTCTAATTCTTATTCATAGAACATTTTTCTTATTCTGCTGGCTGGAACTTGTAGTATGGTTTGTATAGAAATGCAGATAGCAGGTGGTCTTGTGCTGTTTCTGATATTTGCTGTAGGTTTAAATCTATTTTATATCTCATTGAGGACATCAAATTTTATTGAAGGCTTTCAAGTGTCTTTTGAGATGTTTCTTTTTAGAATTTGCAAATATGACTATATTGATTTCTCATACAGTACCATCTTTGCATACAGACCAAAGCCACAACTTTGACATGTTGAAATTTTTTTTACACATTGCTAGATTCACTTAAAAAGTTTTTTAAAAACATTTTTTACATATTTTCACTGGATTCATAAGTGAGATTGGCCTGTGGTTTTCCTTTTTCATGCTGTACCTGTCCTTATTTTTTATGTAAAATTTTTATTGAATTGTAACACTACAAAGACATATGTAAATCATATGTGCACCATAGTAAAGTTTCACAAGGTGAACACACTTGTGTGTACAAGAGAAAGAACATTTTAGTACCTGAAAGCCTCCTCATGCTTCCTTCTCATCAGTACCTTTTCCCTAAGGGTAACTACTAGCCTAACTTTAACACCTTAGTTTTAGTTTTACCTGTTTTTTAAAAAATTTTAAATAAATGAAACCATACATTATATACCCTTTTGATATGGTTTATTTTGACCAATGTTATGTTTATGGTATCCATCCAAATTGTGATTTATTCATTTTCATTGCTATATAATATTATATAACTTCTTCATTCTTCTGTTGATGAACATTTGGGTAGTTTTTTAATTTGGGTTATTAAGAATAGTACTTTTACAAACATTCTGGTACATGCCTAATGGTGAACATATATGTACATTTCTTTTCAGTAAATACCTAGGAGTGGTTATTGGGTATGTTGTATATTAGGCTTTAGTAGAGTTTACCATTTTCCCAAAGTAGTTGTCCTTACCTTATATTTATAGCCAGGCTATGCTAGACTGATAAAATAAATTTGGAAGTCTTTTCTTCTCTAAATAGTTTATGTAAATTGGGATTATCTATTCTTTGAATATTTGGTAGCATTCATACATAAAATCATGTGCATCTATTTTTTTGGTAATTGTTGTAGTTATTAGGTTGGGTTTTTTTGTTTTTGTTTTTGGTCTCTGGGTAGGATTTTTATCTATTGATTTCCTTTGTGTAATGCTAACATCTATCTAGCTTTTTAATTTCGCTTTGGATTTGTTTGATAAATTCTGTTTCCTGGGAAATTGTTCATTTTTACTTAATTTTTCAAATTGATTAGGGTAGTATTGTTCATAGTAGTATTTTTGCTTTATTCTCTGATGTATCTGTAGTAATGTCATACTCATGATACTGCTTATTTTCTTCTCTCTTTCCTTGGTTAGTCAGAGGTTTGTTTCTATTTCAAAGTGTCAACCCTGGGTTTTGTTAATGGTCTTGTTTATGTCATTGCTTTTTTCAAATTTTCTGCTCCTTTAAATTTTCTTTCTCTGTTTTGAATTTATTGTTCTTTCTCTGTCATCTTAATTGGACACTTAGCATATCTTTTTAGTCTTTTTTTTTAATAGAAGCATGTAAGGCATGCATTTTTTTAAGTTCTACTTACAGTGCATCTCACAAATATTGGTGTGTAGCATCTTGGTTGTTATTCAGCTCTAAATATTAAAAAAATTTTTTCTTTGACCAGTGTTTTTAAAAAGTATCAGTTTTAAACATATTTAAAGAAATCAGTTTCTAACTTAATTCCACTGTAATCAGAGCATAGTCTGTAAGATTTTAATTATTCGGTATTTGTTGAGATTTTATTTGTGGCTAGGTTTGAAGTCATTTTTAAAAATAAATGTTTCATGTGTACTCGAAAAGAACACGTTGTCTCTACTTGTTAGGTGCAGGATTCTGCTTATGTCCATTGGATCAAGCTTTTTTTATTGCATTGTTCAAATCTTACTTTAAAATAAATTGATTTATCAGATAATAGTTATTTTATTAAAATCTGCTCTTTCATTTGTGGATTGTCTATTCTTGTAATTCAGTAATTTTTTTTTTTTATTTTGAGATTAACTACAAAATCTGTACAGATTTAGAATTACCATGGTCTTCAACCCACAACTAATTTTCAGATTTTTATTCTAGGTTCATGCTTTAAATATCCTTAGAGCCTTGTTCAGAGATACACGTCTGGGAGAAAATATTATTCCGTATGTTGCTGACGGAGCTAAAGCTGCAATTCTAGGCTTTACATCACCAGTCTGGGCAGTAAGTGCTTTTGCCATTTTTATTCATTGACTTAATTATACATCTGAGTAGGTTTTAATAAACTACTTTTTATCTTTTTTGTTGGCTTTTTAGCCATACCTCTTTGTTTTCTTATTTAAGTGATTGCTTTAGAGGTTTTAGCATATATCTTTAGCATCACAGTCAACCCTCAAGTGGTATTATATCTCTTCAGTTGAAGTATAAGACTTTATAAGAACCTAACAATATATACTTCCATTTCTCTCCTCCCAATCTTTGTGTTTTTTTTTAAAGATTTTATTTATTTATCTGAGAGAGAGAGAGATCACAAGCAGGCGGGAGGGGTAGAGGGAGAAGCAGACTCCCCACTGAGCAGGGAGCCTGGGACTTGATCCCAGGACCCCAGCTGAAGACAGATACTTAATGACTGAGCCCCCCAGGTGCCCCAATCTTTGTGCTTTTATTACACATTTTACTTTTATGTGCATTATAAACCCATACTACATTGTTATTATTTTTGTTTAAACTGTCATTTATTTCTTTTTAAAAATTTACCATTTTAACCATTTGAAAATGTATAGTTCAGGGGCATGAAGTACATCTGCAGTGTTGTGCGGTCATCCCCGCTATCCGTTTTCAGAGCTTCTTCATCATTCTAAACATGAGCTCTGTATCTGTTGAGCAGTTACTCCTCCTCTCTCTCTTCCCTCTGCCCATGGTAACCTCTGTTCTACTTTCCAGACTCTGTGAATTTGCCTATTGTAGCTACCTCGTAAGTGAAATCATAGGACATTAGGCTTTTTGTATCTGATTATTTCACTTAGCATAGTGTTTTCAAGATAGTGTGTGTCATAATTCCATTCCTTTTTAAGGCTGAATGATACTCCATTGTGTGTATGTTTGACATTCTATTTACCCATTCATCTGTTGATAGGCATTTAGATTGTTTCTTTTTGGCTTCTGTGAATAATGCTGTAATGAACATTGTTATACGGTTACTGAGTTTCTGATTTCAATTCTTTTGTGTATATCATATGGTAAATCTATGTTTAACATCTTGAGAAACAGCCAAACTGTATTCCACAGTGGCAGTGCCATTTTATACTTTTATCAGCAATGCACAAGAGTTCCATTTTCCTTACGTCCTTGCCAACACTTGTTATTTTCTCTTCCGTTTTTTGTTTTGTTTTTTGATGATAAAAGCCATCCTAATGGGTGTGAAGTAGTATCTCATTCTGGCTTTGATTTGCATTTCCTTGCTGGTCAATGATGTTGAGCTAGAAGCAGAACAACTCTTAGTATTTTAATATGTCTTTCTTTTGGATGCTATGGGCTCTGGGTATCAGAGTGTTGAGTAAGTGCTGTAAATACACTCTGTCACGAGGTTAAAAAAGAAACAACAAAAACAGAGGTGCCTGGGTGGCTCAGTTGGTTAAGCATCTGCCTTTGGCTCAGATCATGATCCTAGGGTCCTGGGATTGAGTCCCACATCAGGCTCCCTGCTCAGTGGGGAGTCTGCTTCTCCCTCTGCCTCTACCCCCCACCCGCCCCCACTTGTGCTCTGTCTCACTCACTCTCTCAAATGAATAAATAAAATCTTAAAAAAAAGATAAAAAACCAAGTTAAAAAACCCAAAGTATTAAAATGGAGGAGGTTAAATATTGAGTCGCCTTTTTTTTTTTTTTTGGCAATATGATCACTGTCCAGAAACTTTTGGACTCAGAACACTAAAGATAGTGGACAGTACCCAGGATAGTACTTGTTGGACTTAAGAAGGTCAGCTTTCATGATTCTTGGGAGAAGCACCATGATTTTATCATTTTCCTTCCGGAATAAAGGAGACTAACCTGTGGCTTGTGAGTGCTTGACATGTGGTTTAAAAAAAAAAAAAAAAAAAAAGACTGGCAATGGGAGAAGAGGAAAGAAGCTAGACCTTAATACATTGCCTGTAGAATGGAGAATTTGCTAGAAAGGCAGGCGTTCCATTCAGTGATCTGCACAAACCATTTTATAACTCTATGATAAGCCTCTAATTGAGGGTCAATATATGGTAGTATAGCTAAAGGCACAGACTTCCAATGTAAAGAGAAATCCTCAAGGTTGCCAACTTCTGCCTGGAAAATTGTGCATCTTCCTGTAAGAAAGACAAATGTCTAAAATCCTGTCTAGGAGCATTGCCTAACTACTCCCGAGGACACAGTGTTTACCTTCTGCATTTACAGGAAGCAGAGCAATACCTGTGTACCTTTGGTAGAGTCATAGAGGTAGGAATGTGGCTTGACCATCCGGAAAACTAGAGATCATAAAACTGATTGCCAGAAATATCAATATTGTTTTCTTTAAGTCATAAATTCAAGATGAACAAAGAAATGCTTTCAGAGAATGAAACCTGGTGACTTCCAACATTTTAGCAAAACTGAAAGTATCAAAAATGAGTGGACTCATTGTTTAAAAAAATCTTTTTGAGACCTTTAAAACAGTAACACGTACACTGCAGAAATTTTGAAAATAAAAGCATAAAAAGAAAAGTGAAAGTCACCTGTTTAACTACCATATAGATATAATCATTATTAGCATTCTGATGTATTTTCTGCCTTTCTTTTAATGTGGGTTCTGTATGTGTGTAGTACTCAGATACACACATATATCCACAAAAGACTGCATAAATATATATAAGTACTCATGTGTAGTTTTATTTTCGGGAATCTTCCATATTAACACTGGTTTTGAAGGAATCTTTTTGGTTCTTTTCAGTTTGCTGTACTAGAGGAAATAAACATCATAGCTCTAATGATCAATCCTATGACTTTAATATATTGATTGTTATGTTTTTTTCCTTATAAAAACTTAATCTGAGATATGCCAAAATTATAAATCAGCATAATCAGTGAATGTGAAGAGGGCTTCATTTTAAAACAATTAAAATTTATGGGGCGCCTGGGTGGCTCAGTCGTTAAGCATCTGCCTTCGGCTCAGGTCATGATCCCAGGGTCCTGGGATCAAGCCCCGCTTCGCTTCGGGCTCCCTGCTCAGCGGGAAGCCTACTTCTCCCTCTCCCACTCTCCCTGCTTGTGTTCCCTCTCTTGCTGTCTCTCTGTCAAATAAATAAATAAAATCTTAAAAAAAAAACAATTAAAATTTACAACAGTTTAAAGCAGCTTACCACAGGATTCTCTGTTGAGGTCATTTTAAGAGTGATTTTTCCTGAACGCGTGTGAAGTGTGGGTTAATTTACAGAAACCTAATTTGTGTACATCTTCTCAGGAATGGATCTTGTGCCTAAAGGTCACTACATCTGTACTTTTTTTTTTTTTTAAGATTTTATTTATTTATTTGACAGAGAGAGACAACAGCGAGAGAGGGAACACAAGCAGGGGGAGTAGGAGAGGGAGAAGCAGGCTTCCCGCCGAGCAGGGAGCCCGATGCAGGGCTTGATGCCAGGACCCTGGGATCATGACCTGAGCCGAAGGCAGACGCTTAACCGACTGAGCCACCCAGGCACCCCATTACATCTATACTTCTCACTTAACTGTTTCTCCATGCTGGAGAGGAAAAAAAACACACACACAAAATTAACTTAATTTTAATTTTGCAGTAAAGGAACATTTTTCCAACAAGCATCCATGTATAATTTTATTTGTTTCCTCAGTCTTCTGTATTGAGACCATATACGTTTTTCTGTCTTTGCCACCTGTTGGACGTTTTTAAAATATAGGGGTAAGGTATTGTTGTAAACAGATTAGGCATTAGGAACACCTACTGTGTTGCAGATGATATATTAAACACTAGAAATACATGGATAAATAAGACATAATCATAATAATGGCTGTCTTGTTGAAGATTTTCTGAGTGCGCCTGGCATCATTTATTTTGATAATCTCAGTTAATGCTCAGAACAGCCTTGTAAAGTAGATTCTATTATTATAATCCTCATTTACAGATAAGGAAGATAAGGCTCGGAGAGGCAAAATAACTTTGTCTAAGGACATACAGCTATTATCTGTCTGACTCCAGAATCAATTTATTATAGCGGAAAGGTTTTGGTGTTATAGGAATACAGAGAAGGTGTGTTTTACCTACCTTGTAGGGTTTTGGCCCTGTTCCTTAGGAAACAGAACTGGAAGTATAATCTGGGTGCTAAGGTTTTATTGAATGGTACAAACCCACAGCAGCAAGAATGAAGGAGAAAAGAGAAGAGGTGAGACAAGGAAAGAGGAAAGGCATTACTGAACAGGTCTTGACCTTGCAGGAAAACTGAACTAGTTGTCTGGTCGTGTGATAGATCTTCTAGCCAGGCCATGTGAAACTACCACCTCTTGAACAGTCCCATATCCTTTCTCTTACTGTCAAGGGTTAACACTTGGGGCATTAACACAACTTGGGCAGGGGTTGATACAACCCTTGGGCAGCTGCGGGAGAAGGCAGTTCCCATGCCCTGTGATGTAACATCTCATCTGAGTCTGGAAATGGCTGGATGAGCCACAGCCTCCATGGGTATAGTTGGGACAGACCCGGGGTTTTAAACTATGGCTCCCATTGCTGTAGAAAAACCCTTCATGACAGAGTTTCTCAGTAGGGGAGTGATGGCATCTGATCAATGTAGTTAAAAAATGGAAACTCAATTGTAAGGTAGCAAGACTTAAAGGGAAGGAGGAAGACTAATCAGGAAGCTATTGTAGTAGTTCTGCCAAGAGATGATGATGGCTCAGAATGGAAAAATATTAGTAAAAATGGTGACACGTGATGATCTTTGATATGTATTTTAGAGATGAAGCTAGTTAAGTTAAAGAGACTGAGTGGCTCAGTCAGTTAAATGTCTGCCTTGGGCTCAGGTCATTATCCCGGAGTCCTGGGATTGAGCACCAGATTGGGCTCCCTGCTTAGCGTGGAGTCTGTTTCTCCCTCTGCCTCTGCCCCTCACTCGTGCTCTCTTTCTCAAATAAATAAATAAAATCTTAAAAAAAAATTTAGGTAAGGGTAATTTACAGGTACATATATGGGAACCAAGGCATTTCTGGGCA